TAGAAAACACCACATTTTATACTCAGTGAACCCAAAGAAATCAAATAAATGATAAGATTAATTCCAAAGCAATGATATGATGCAGAGACCGCTCCGAATCCAGCTCATAACGGCCGAGAGAAGCGTGATGATTCATTCATGACGTCACCCGACATAATGACATAGTTATTACAAAACGCCGACCACATATTAAGATCGTTATAGCTTTGTCAATATTTTGGAGAATGATATGATATTTGTCATGGTTCAGTGTTAGTAGATGAAATGGAGGACTAAATCCCAAAGGAGGAGGTTATATGTTCGGCAGCGATATATGTTTTTTTTATGTATATTCACCGATAATTCAGCCATTCGTTGACCGGTTTTAATTTTTTTTTGTGCTGTCGTAGCTTGATGGACCGAGGTGTACCATTTACATTTTATCGAAATTGAATCAGCAGTTTTCCTATTACAATAGAACAAAATACATTTTTCACCATATCACCTAAATATTTAGATGTTGTACGTAGGCGGGATGATAAATAGCAAGCTCAACCCATATTTTGTATAATAACGATATAAAATCTCCTTAGTATTTTACTCATTGGTTCATTAGCTGCCAGTGTTCCAAATTTCAAATCGATCGTATAGTTTTTCTTTTAAATATTGACATTTCAAAAAGCATTCTTTTTTTTTTCTGCAAAATGGATTAAATTGAGCTACCAGCTGTGATAAAGTTTTTGCATTTAAAAGGATTAAAAGGTGGGGAGATTTTTTCGCGAGATGAAGGATGTTTTGGGAGAAAATGTTCCTTCATATGCGACCATAAAAAATTGGGTGGCTGAATTTAAACGTGGTCGTACCAGCACCCAAGATAAACATCGTCCAGGACATCTTAAAAGTGCCACTACTCCAGAAATTGTGATCAAAATTCATGATGCAGTTTTAGCTTTCCGAGACAGCTGATACTGTATGCATCTCTAAAGAACGGGCGCATTACATTTTGACTCAAGAATTATGTATGATAAAATTACCCGCAAGGTGGGTGCGGCGATTGCTTACAGTTGACCAAAAACGCGTTCCACAAGAATGTTTGGACCGCTTTAAGAGCAATACAACTGATTTTCTGCGACGGTTTATTACTACAGACGATACTTGGGTTCACCACTATATACCTGAATCAAAAATTCAGTTTAAACAATAGAAGGAAAAAGCAAAAGCCGTGAAATCAGCGGGGAAAATCATGGCGTCACTATTATTGGATTCGAAAGGCATATTGATGATTGATTATCTTCCAAAAGGACAAAACATAAATGGCGAATATTATGCTGATCTACTGGATAAATTACAAGTGTGTATTCGTGAAAAAAGACCAGGCCTGGCTAAAAAAAATTATCTTTCATCAGGATAATGCGCGCGTTCACACGTGCATCACTGCGATGGCGAAATTCAAAGAAATAAATTATGATTTGCTACCACACCCAGCTTATTCTCCTGATTTGGCACCATCTGACTTTCATCTATTCCCTAAGCTCAAAAATTTTTTAGGTATAATTTGAAAATTAGGACATAATTTGAAAATAATAGCGTGGTGATGTCTGCCGTGGACAATTATTTTGAAGGGTTTAAAGAAAACCACTTCAGGGATGGCATCAAGGCTTTAGAGCATAGATGGATGAAGTAATTTTATATTATGTATTTCAGCTAAAATACAAAAGATTGCGTATTTTGAATTCATTCAAAATCGAAGAGAATTTTCTATATTCAAACAGTATGTATGTATATTTTTTATAAAAGAAGTGTGTCAATCGATTTCTATTAAACTAGCTGTTTTCCCGCGACTTCGCCTGCGATAACAATAGCCTATTTCCTAAGCGTATTATGCAGCTTCCCGCAGATAAAAGACTATCCAATGTAAAGAAACAAGCAATGAAATTTTTCCTCTTTATAAAATAAGTATAGAATTATCGGGAGAAATAAACAAAATCTTCTTTTCTACAACTTTCCCTATGTTAAATATTTTTATTTATATAGATATTTATCACTTTTTTAAGTTCGGAGTCGTTTCTATTTTTTTTTTAAGACAAAAAATAAAATTTCTTTTCCAGAGATTTTCATTATGTTAACATATTTTTATATAGAATTAAATATTTTTAGTGTTATATAGAAAAAAAAGTCTTTATAAAGCACAAAAAAATGACTTTTCAAAAATATTACCGACTTCAAACTTTAAAAAAGTGATAAATAATACTTATCACAAAAGCGACTCATTCGAGAAACTGCAATTGAAACCTCCGCCATCAATAGCTTTTTCATGAATAAGTCGCTTTTGAGATAAGTATTATTTAAATTTTTATTCTTCATATGGGTTCCCTGCTTCCCAAATCATTGTTCGTTATGTTATAAGGAGAACTTGAGTCAATCTGGCTAAATAAAAATAATGAAATGAAAACCCAATAACTCCGGCGAATATCCGGTTCGGTAAAAGTTAAACCGAATACTATTCGGCTATTCGGTAAAACCACTTTACAGCGCATCTCTAGTTTCTAGGGTAGTAAGACTCCGCTCTTTGTCCGCCCTTCTGTCGCCAGGCTGTATCTGATGAACCGTGCGTGATGGTATTAGTTACATAGCTGATATTTTCACAGATGATGTATATTTTCTGCCGCTTTAAAAAGAAATTACAAACAGCATAATATAAATATAAGGGGGCTTCCATACAACAAACGTGATTCTTTGTCGTTCCATTAAATAAATAAGTAAACAATTGGTCGGTTTATGATATTTGTGTTTAATTCTCTGCGCTCGAGTCCGACTCGTTCTTGGCCGGTATTTTATCGATAAACGTGGTGTGAAATTTCTGGTTACTCATTTTACAAGTTTCCTGAACTACTACTGGTACGAACCTAATGAACAACCACCACCTAGAAAGTATTGACACTTTTAAGGATTGAGGAACTCCTCCTTTTAGAAGTTGGAAAAGGCCGTAATATTACTTTACAGCGTACGCTAAAACATGGGCTGTAATTTTATGCAAATACTACAAAATATGAATATTTAAACCGGTACCATAGCGGAGGCATAGGTATAACTATGTTCTGTGGGTATAACTATGCTTACTCAAAGCCAGTAGTTATTCTTTGGCACCGTACCGAGTGTAATGTCGCGTATGAAATAAACATTATTTGATGTTGAATATTCCTTTATCAACTATGCTCTGCCCACACGTTCCTATGTTCGTTTTATGTATGTATATCAGCATATAGCAATATGTACCTAGCAGGATTATGATTATGATAAAAAAACCTGGACTAGGAAACGCTTACTTCCGCATTTACCGAACAATTCAAGAATTTTGTGTTTACTAAAAATCTTACTTCTGATCTCTTATCTGTTATCAAATATAATATATTTCTTTTTACCCTATGGAACAAAGCTCAGTCCGTAGAGGCCTCTGCAAACTGAGCTTTGTCTGTTTCGTATTCTAGACAGGTTATCAACCGCCCTATTGTATTTTTTTAAATAGATTTTATTTATGACGTTTGTTTTAAACATTTGTATATGCAAAGATCTAAACGCAAAACTACTAACCCGATTTTTTTTTATGATCAACTTTAGAATACATATTTTACATTCAAAATTTATCAAAAATTGTCGAAAAATTATCAGACAATATAGCTTAAAAAGGATTCCTCGGGATGTCTACCGAAAAAAAGAAATTTCTTTCTTCTGACCAAATAGGATACCCAAAAGAACCGTCGCGTCGTCGATTAGATCCCGAACTTGTTACGCTCAAAAGTAACCGTCTTAAAACTAATTTCTGGATTACGACCCGAAAGTGTGAGGCAAAATTGGGCGTTCCAACGTTATCTTCGAATTCATAGCCAACGAAATTTCGTCTGGAATTTAGTTAGGCTACTTAATTTGATCAAGTTTTAAAAGACGTAGAAAATCTCTAAGTAGGTACATGTTTTCCATCGGCCGATTACGCTTCATAGAATCATCGCAAGTAATTTTCATCTCATAATACACGTAGCTTTTAGATTACACATTAAACATTCATGACGATCTAATAAGTCTATTGCCGAAGGGTAATTTAATTTAATATCTATTAATTTGGAACTCATAGTTTAGACGTATGTTGAAATTTACCAACTTTTGCCTGTTACGAATAGCTTGAATGAAGTTAGAGACCTGTATGATTCGGATATCGCTTAGAGAGGATAATTAATTTAGTAGAATTTCGTACAAACTGAATAAATGTGCGAAACACAAATAATGATGGTCATTTGTATGAAAATCTGTTATCATGTCATCTGCTGTCATGTATTATTGGTAACGGTAGAGAAGGTTTGTATTTGTTAAATTATAAATAGGTATAATAATAATAATCGCAACAATATAGCTTTCGACTTGATGTTACTAAAATTGTGAAGACACAAAGTACTGTATGAAAAAATTCACCGCCGCAACTCATAGTGATTATTAAGTGCACCTATTATCTTATCAGATAACAGAGCTATATAATCGGCATTGTGCCGCCTACACAGGTGCACGATATTGTACCTATCCGCAGTCGGCCACTCACTGATCGAGGATATTGTCTTATTACGCTCACTGGTTACTACGATGTTACGGAGGCGTACTTATAGCAAAAGCATTACCTATAAACGGGCAACTTGTGCGTATTACACAACTGTGATTAAAGTGTTCAAGGTTAAACAGTGACGTAGGCTCGGCCGTAAGGCGCTATCGTCGTCTTATCGTCTCAGCAAAAGCCTCACGAACATAAGATATAAAATGTATTTTTGACAACGGTATTGCAGTATCGCGGTGGGGATTGTTTTGGTGCGTGGTGCCGACGCTGCGGAACGTACACACGCGGCGGGCAGCGGCAACGGTTAGATGGCCGCTTATAAATACGGCATTCCACTCGAGCGTAGCGAGCCGCGCTCCCCTCTCATCGCATCACCATTATCTGCGGACTGCAAGGCCGCGCGCGCGATAAAACAACAACCTACCTTTTTAACCTGGAAGTGGTCCGGACGCAGCGTCTCCTGAATCTCTTGCTCGACGCCGCGCGGTGCCGCCTGCACCGAGCTGCGGAACCCGTCCAGCACCCCCTTGAACGTGAACTTCTTCATCGCGAAACACCGAGTCGACGCGGATCCTTTGTCCGAAGGCCGCTCGCGCCGGCCCCGGCTACATCACAGCCGTCCGCGGCGGACAGCAAGCCGGTTTTGGCGGACGGTAGGTCGCTCGCTCCCGCGCTACTCGCGCCGCTACTGCGCAAGGCCTCCCCGGGCCGCCGCCGACGCCGACACGCGCCTGCCACGCCGACGATCGACGAAAACTAGGCGAGGCACCGCCTCCGGAATGTACGGCAATGCGGCTCCACTCGGCGATCGATAGCCGGGATAGCACAGACCGCGCTCTACACACGCGCAATACCGTCACGTCGTCAGCGAGGTCGTCGCGGACTGGCGGAAAGAGCGCGCCGCGCCCGATCGATGCTCCCGCCCCTGCACGGAAAAGAGATGAACAGATATGGCGCATGGAAAGGCGAGTCTTGCAGAGGAAAAATTACAACAGCTGATAGCTGATTCCGATTGTAGCCGTTAGGCGGCGCTGCCGTACACTGTAATGTCATCGTGACATTCGGACAACAAGACATTGACATACATTTTGTAATAATAATTCAAAACCGGCTATTGTCATGCTATTGTAAATACGATACAGTTCTTACACCGGATATTTTTATTTCTCTAATACAAAATGACATTCAGAATAGTGATTAGAAGTTTACAAAACCTGAGTTATATTGGCAGTTATAAAAAAGTCAGAAATACACCTATCAAGTGAGTTATTGTGAAACTTTCGAAGTGAAAAGTGTTTTCTGTCTTCTTCGTTATTTCTTCTTGGAATTTTGTGATCGTATACCGCAATAACAACGCAACATTACTCAAGTATTTGCTTCAATCAAAAGTTCTCATATATTTCTCTCAGTGAAATTTGTACCGATCATTTTAAGGTTATATCTATTAGATTACAGACACAATAATTTTATCCATTGGCTTATCTTTTTATCTGTAACTAAAAGTACAAAGTACATAGTTATGTGAAGAACTCATGAAGAATTACGTTTTTTTGAACCTTTTAGAATATACTGTGCAGCACTAGTAGGTGCAGGATGCATAGCGTACGACAAATACAAGAGAGACAGGGCAGAAATGAAAGAAATAATCCAGCTCAAGAACTACATGGCCGACCCAATCACACCTGTAGCTCAGCTGGAACGAACCCAAGATCAAATGAAAACACAAATGGAACTACTCATTATGAGGATACAAGCTGAGTTTTGTAGGGCTCTCGAGGCAGAGGAGGATAAAGTATGCCTTATATTAACTGCTAATATTAAAAAAACATTAATTTTATATCATACAAAAATTGAAATTTATTTATCCAGATACTATCTGTTTGGTAAACTGCATTGAAATCTGTTGTTTCCACATGAAACATAAAACAACAAGAAAATATCAAAAGTAAATAATATTTTATTATCAGGTTATTTATAAAATGCACATTCAATGATAATAAATAAATATTAGACAACATCACATACAATTCTCAGATTCCAAAATAAGTAACTAAATCCCCCTAAAATGGAGAACAGAATTATTTTGTTTATAAAAAATTTAATTTTATCCTTGTCATTTTTTCTCTTGTAGGCTTGGCAAGATGAAAAAACTGTGGATGATTATGACTTTGATGAAGATGTATATTTGACATTTCCGGTATGATTGTATAATAGATAATTAACTATAAAAAAGGCACTATGGTTTTCAAGGATTTAATTTACGTTAAGACATAATTGTATGTACCAATAATCTTTTAGGTAAATTAACTTTCAATAGACTTTTTGTCTATTATTAAACTTATGCATTGAATCACATACATTACTTATTACTCTTTCGCCCCTTAATCAGAGTCAGTCTATAAATCTATCAGGCTAAGCTGTGAAAGAGTAAAAAAATTAAATTATTTATTCATCTAAAATTAAAATAGACCTTATTTATAGGACGCAAAGTTCAAAGTAGACCGATGGATACGCAAAGAGGGAGGTGGTGGCATCACATGCGTCCTGCAAGATGGCAGGGTGTTTGAGAAGGCCGGTGTCAACATTTCCGTGGTGTCTGGCAACTTGCCGCCTGCTGCCGTACAACAGATGCGTAGTAGGTAGGGTAGGCGAAGTGATCTTAGCAGGAAATAGGGGTCATGGCATAGCAAATTTTTTTTTTCAATCCTACTATTAACCCTCAATAATTTTTGTATCCTGGTACTTCTACACAACTCATAATAAATTTTAAATACTGGCTGTGAACAACACTTTATTTTTAACTGTATTTTTTTTTATTTTAAATCTATAAATGTAGCATAAAAGTTGCCAAAACGTTTAATGTTTGTATACAGAGGCAAAGCTCTTCAGAATGATAATTTACCATTCTTCGCTGCGGGAGTGAGTGCTGTTATCCACCCGCGCAACCCCATGGTACCCACCATACATTTCAACTATAGATACTTTGAAGTCGAGGATAAAGACGGTGAGCTAAGACAAAATAGAGTGATAAATAGTAAAGGCTGAATGTTTAATCAATAATGCGGTCAATGTTCAAAGTCGAAATAGTTTATTTATATTCTCAATAAAAAGTGCTAATAAACTCCACTTTATCCCTGGCATTCTGAGATGGGACTCGAACCATTGAGCTCTAACCATTGAGTTACCGAGCACCTAACAGGTCTGATGAATTTATAAAGCACTTGTTACTTTTGCCCTAATACGGATTACGAAAGATCATGGGTTCGAGTCCCATCTCAGAATGCTCTCGCATAAGTCTCGCAAAGTAGACTTTTATTAAGCAAAAATTTTCTCAATGTAAAATTCATTAAGAATATTTTTTAACAAGCATCATAATTTTTTTGTGGAACAATATTATTTACAGTGATCAAATGTTTGTTCTCTTTGAAATCGTAACATTCTTTAATTTTTACGATATGTTTCTATTAATTGAATATTGCTAAATCGTAAATCATATCCATAGTACTATATCTAAAAGTAATTTTTATGTGTGGCTTTTAAATATTTCTTTGTTAAGTAATTATTTTAATCATGTTTTTCTTTAAAAGGAGTTGGGTGTCGTTAGAGATATTAAATTGAATAAAAATATTATATAAAATATTTCCCGATAAATGGGCGATTGACTGACATTGACATCATATAATTAATGTCCAAATGAATATATAAAGATAACATCACACGTTCCTCAGATTCCAAATTAAGTAGCTAAAGCTTGTTTCATGAAATCAGATATAATGATGGCTCGAGACAATAGGGAAATATTAATTTTTCTACCCACGGAGGTTCAAAAGTTCGACTGCTGTTGGTCAGGAGTGCAGTGGTGGTTCGGCGGAGGCACGGACCTGACGCCGTACTACCTGAACGAGGACGACGCCGTCCACTTCCACCAGACCCTCAAGCTCGCGTGCGACGCCCACGACCAAACATACTACGCCAAGTAAATAAAACATCGTGATTATATTAACACGTGCATGGTACGCACTGTACAATTCAATATTATTTCACTTAAAATCACACATAATACACTTCTATGTTATGGACACTGGTAATAATATAAAAAGAGAAAATTCTATATCAAATATCAACCATTAAACACTCACCTAAATTTAATAATCGACCAAATCATAATAATTGGCATCAACAATAAATATTTCTGATAATTGAGTTAGATATTCGATGGTTCGATAATTCTTTAACTGCTACAGGTTAGCGGTTACCACTATATGTCAAATTACCGAAATGTATTTTGAACTTTATCCTCAACGTAATAAACTTAGAAATCAAATGATGAAGTTAAATTGTATACCCTGAACCAGGGCTTGGAAACCGGTTTATTTTTTGAACCGGTTCCGCTCCTTTGAACAGGTTTTTAACCGGTTCGCTAGAAATACGGTTTTCTTTATTAACCGGTTTAAATATGTCTCCAGACAATGATCTTGAAACTTCAGCACGGTTTTTAAGTGCCTATACTCCTATCTATTACATCCGTACACAGGTATGATAAATTTCGTCGCTTAAAAATGATATAATTCGCATTAAAAGCGTAAGAACATTGCTTTTTACGAACCAAGCGAATTAACCGGTTTTTATTCCATCCGAATTTCACTCCGCATTTAGTTCCGATCCGGAACGGAACATTATAAGAGAACAGGTTTTACCTAAATAAAAAAGGTTTATTCTGAACCGGTTTCAAGCCCTGCCCTGAACTGTTGTTGAGTTAACTCTATGTATGCAACTAATGTTCAATTATACAGCACTAGAAATGTACCTCTGACTAGAAATGTGTCAGAGGTACATTGCTAGTGCTGTATAATGCCACTAGAGGTATTATCATCCACTTTTTTATTCGTAATAATTATCACTTGATAGATTTAAGAAATGGTGCGACGACTACTTCACCATCCCGCACCGCGGCGAGAGGCGGGGCGTGGGCGGTATATTCTTCGATGACATCGACTATCCCAGCCAGTGGGCCGCCTTCAACTTCGTCACGTCCTGTGCTGAGGCTGTTATACCGAGCTATCTGCCCATAGGTAACAACTCACTTAAATGTACAAGAAATACCGAAATTGATCGATCAAACAATACCAAGTAACTTCGAAATAGATACCAATTATATCTATTTCGAACTGAAATTTTCTGCATATCGAGGCCCAAATTCAGTAATTTTCGGACGACTCACATATGCCGTTGGCCGTTAATTAAATCAGAAGGAGCATCACTAAAATCGAGCTAAGAAAAAGTTGTAGAATATCCATCTCTTCAAAAGTCGACCGTCCAGTCAAAGACAAAATAATCAGGGGCGTAGCTACCGCCATATCTGCCTTATCAATTATGGCTTTCTGGGTACTGGGGTTGTATCTTCCCTTGCCTATCCAAGATAAATTCTCAAGTTATTACAGGAATATTGAGTGGAGATAAGATTGATAATAAATCACCTTTTAATTCATATACCTACATATTTAAGTGTTTATCTGAAATAATGATTGTTATTATTACTCAGCCTCTGATTATAAGGATCAATAAGCAATACAGTTTTTTTAAATCAACGCTTAGTCCCTGCATCGGATGTGCCTCAACTTTATAATAGACGACTTGTTTTTCATAATTTTTATTTTGTAGATATATATATATACAGCGTGTTTGGTAATACCTGAATAATCCCGAATATGGCACATACGGTATGATGAATAGAACCCAGAAAAATGATCATTAAGACTGAAACCCAGCACATGACCTAGATATTCAGCTTTTTTTCTTCGAAGTAAAACTGTACGCTGACAACCCTAAAAACAGCTGTTGTGTTGTATTTGGTCATCGACTCCATGTGCCGAACTAGTTTAAAAAATAACAGAAGTTAAATAAATCTAAAGATAAATGCCTAGAATAAATATGCATCTGAGAGGAATTTATTATTTCCAAACAAAGAAAAAGTTAGTAGTAAATGACTTTTAACTATAAAAAATCACTAATCTTGTGATTAACGGTGTTTCAAAAACTATTAATATGAAAACTTCTGTAATAATACAGTCAAAATAAAAAAGAAATTGCAAATACTTTGATTGAAGTTCAATATCTGCACCATTGCTCACATTAGTCTATGCAAGAAGGAGCGAGAGAGACATAAAATCGACGACGATGTGTATTGAGAAACTCGGGTTTCTGATGTGTCAGTAAGGTTCTGTAGATTATTTGCTTTGAAGTTTTGTTATTTTTTTCATAAAGCCCTGTTATTTTCACGAAACAATAAAATACGGACTTATACAATGATATTAATAATCTAAGTATCTCTCTTATTCTTAGTTTAAATGATAATTAAATAAAGGTTAGTTGTAATGGAAAGGTCTAATAATAAATAATATTTCTTGACGCGGAACCCCAAAATCGGTACACTTTTGATTTAGGTACATTGGTGTTCGAGTTGCAATAATAATAACCTATGTAGTTTTGGTCATCGCGTCAGTCGCGTCCATGACTTTCATCGGCGTACTTGTGAGTTTACAGAATTTAGAAGGTCAACTTACGTTTTCGTTCTTTCGGGACTTTTGGTTTGTTTTTCATTCTCGTTCTGTTTACCTGTGTATTATGTTTGTGTGCGGTCAGTGCAATGAATTCGTACTCAAATGCCTAATATTACGAGATGATAATGTGTGGCGGTGCTTGTGACGGTAATCTTGCTGCGGCTCGGCGGCGTTATGACGAGCGCCACGTGTCAGGAAGACCTGAAAACCATCGACGTCTTCCTTCTTACCGGTGATTCGCGGCATTTGTGAATTGGTTACATACAACTGGTTCATTCCATAGTGTGCCACAGGTAGGCCGGCCGATCACCTATTCCATCGAGACAGAGGATATGACTTTACGTCGAGAGTAACACGACACGGTCTGTGTCGAGTCGAATGGAGATGTGTGTTTTATGCGGTGGCCGGCATATCGAGACCCTGGACTGATAAAGTGGAGGTGAAGTGTAGGTAATGTTGACAAGTGAAAGCTGAAAGAGTGATTAGAACGCTATAGGTATGTACCTATTTAATCTTAAATTGTTTTAATTACAAGTAAACTCATACGTAGTCGAGTGCGCGCGTCGGCAACATCAAAATGTATTCAAGGAAACGAGAGAGTGAGAGGTAATGAGAGAGAGAGAGAGAGAAAGAGCGAGTGCGCCGGGACGGCACGTATAAGCTTACAGGGTTGTAGCATAGTAATTGAAAACAAATTGTTCAAATATTTGTATGAAAATATCAATTTACATGAAATTGTTTTTTGACCTATCAATTGTGTTCTTTGTGCTAGGTTGTATGGCCATGTTTCGGGATTATACAGGTATTACCAAACACGCTGTATATATATATATATATATATATATATACATTCATTCACTTATTTCACATATTACTTATTTAACATTCATTTATTACTTTAAAATCTCAAAATAAATTTGATTTTCATTTTTTGGCGCCATTTTCAAATTTGTTAATGCAAGGTGAATATAAATATAAAGATTCCCTCTTTTCAAAAGAAAATTGGAAAATTGAATAAAAAAATTATTTATCAATTAAATCCATCTTATAAATAAACGTAAGTATTTTTTTTTTGTTTATTTAGAAACTTATAATTTTCTGATTCTGTTTCGACTGATCACGTGATCTAAAGCACTGCGAGCACCTTACCTCGAAATCTCCAGTGCTCACAGTACAAATATGGCGGCAATTTATGACGTCATAAATTTCCCTAGGGTACTGTAGCAGTGTACTGGCAGTCCATAACGGAACGGATTTTTCAGCAGTAGACCACTGCGCAGTGCTCGCAGTGTATATCGGAACATACCCTAAGTGTGATTACCGTTACTATTGTATTAAACACTAGCAGAAAAAAAGTTTATTTTCGGTATGAAATTATGTATTAATTTCTTCAATATAATTTGCAGTTCAGAAACACAAAGACGACGCGTACGGTTACTACGAGCGCCAGTGGCAGCTGCTGCGGCGCGGGCGCTACGTCGAGTTCAACCTAATCTACGACCGCGGCACCAAGTTCGGTCTACACACGCCTGAAGCCAGATACGAGTCCATACTCATGTCCCTGCCGCTCAATGCAGTAAGTAATCTAATAATAACAATACACTCTATATCATCTAAAAAAATATTGCTCTTTTACTTTTTTTTTTTTTGACAACAATGGATTCAAGGTAATTTATATGATGTATATCTTTCAGGTTTTTTTAGTAATAAAAAAAAGTACTGATCCGTTTTTAAATAAAAGGGACTTTAAGGGGACGCTTCGAGAATGTATCATTTAAAAAAAAAAACTTTAATTATTGTATATGTCGGCGTGTAGTCAGAAGGGCCTATTACGAAGCCCAAATAGATCATCCATATCGGAGGACTATCTTTAAAATAACACTGCAGGCGTGTATAACAACGTGGATTTGTTACATTTTATCACTTTTCATACGAAAATATAACGAGATGAGCGTGATGTCGTCGGATGTCTTTACTCCTCGGCGTTCAGAAACAGAATGTGTGCCAAAATGGCGGCAACTTGCTTTTTATTAACGAACTGTCAAAGTCAGTGTCACCATTCTAATAAAATTAAAAGTATCGATGTTCACGTTCTTTCTACAATCGAGTAACTAGCAATTAAAATAAAAGAAACTAAATCAAACGATCTTCGTAAAGATGATGCGACATATATAAAAGTAACAAATGCTTAAAAATTTCGTCAATCCTGTTTTGGATTGCTCAGTAGTTAGAGCAGTCGCCCGTACAAAAAGGCGAAAGGTCGTGGATTAGTATCCCATCACAGAGTACCAGGGACAAAGTAGATTTTTAAGCATTTTACACATCACTACGGGTCCAAATGAATACGGGTGTGGCGTAGTGGATAAGCGCCGCGGCCCGCGATCGTAGTCGTTAAGCAACTTTCGCAAGGGTCGGTCACGGGATGGGTAACTCCGTGCTTCGGAAGGCACGTTAAGTCGTTGGTCCCGGCTTCATTTGCAGTCGTTAATACCCTCCAATCCGCATTGGGCCAGCGTGGAGGGTCATGGCCCATCCTCCTTAACCATCCATAAGGAAGGCCTGAGCCCCTGCCATGGGGACGTAAAAAGGGCTGGTGATGGTGGACAGTAAACGAAAATATATATATAACGATATTCGTTTCAGAGTGCCGTGACGTCATAGTGTCGCCATAACAGAAATGGCGTTATCGCTTAACTTATTATATGAATGATATTTTTTAGATATATTTCAAGTATATTAATAAAAAAAAATATATATATAAAAAGTTATCTACACCCCAATTTTTGTTTCCTGGTAAGATTAACCATATTTTTTTATTTATCCACAGAAATGGGAGTACATGCACCAACCGAAACCCAATTCCCCAGAAGAAGAATTACTGAAAGTACTAAGGGAACCCAGGGACTGGCTCAATTTAGAAAAATCTAAGAAATCAACAGTATAATAAATAAAGTTTCATGATAAGGATAAACAAAACACTGTCTCACTACTCTGGTTGTGGGCTTGAATGTTTATGATAGTACTTTTAAAATTATTATAACAGGAAAGATATGTCACCGACACCTTCTATAGGGCCACTGCGAATTGTTGCGAGCACAAAATTTAACTTCACTAACAGATAATCCAGCAGAGCGACTTCCTAACTCGCTCCCTTAACTCTTGCCATATCTATAAAAACGTATTAGGTATTAATTTTAGGTATTAAATATTATCAATGAATGTTTATATCTTTCAATCAACCGTTTTGGTTGTTGTAATTTTGTGAATTATGTTTTGTTCGACTAAATTAAAATATACTTAGAGAAAGTTGAATTAAGGCAAACAAAACTATTTGGAATATTTTAATTGACCACAATGGGTAGTTAGAAAAAAACATATTGTCAAAAGAAAAAATGTGTTCGTAAATAAAATATTTGTATAGTGTTGCAGTTGCTCGCTCCACTGAACGGTCCACCCACGAATGTGCGACCTCGCATAATTTTTTTCTACTTTTTTGCCTCATATTTGTATAACAAAGTAAATAGAATCCTCAATATCTATCAACATCCAAATTATGCTTTTGCAAGCATTACTGTAACTAAATACCAAGAAACTTTATTATCGAACTACTGAAAATCTTATCCCACCTAAATAAGAAAACCATTAATTATATTTTAGTTACGCACATAGCGCGCTTACGGTTGCGGGATAAACAAAAGGTTAAGATTTTTTGTTGAAAGAATATATGATTATTATATTATACTGTTATTATTATATGCAATAGAGAAAATAGTGTGAAAGTTCGGCCGTTATGAATGGAGATTCTTTTCCCGCCGCGCTCACACTAACATTGAATTTCATCGCTTCCTCACTCGCTCGAATGATGTATAGTAAAGCTGTGCGAGTCAACTCTGTCAATGGTCATGACAATTATTTGAACAGATACAAGTGTGCCGCATCTTCCCTTTTTATTAAAAAAAAAATCATATTATTCTACTCTACAATGTATCATAAAAAATATTTTTATAAATATTTTTGATGTTGGTATTTGTTGTTTCATTTATTTATAACAACTGGCTTTCCACCTGCGGCTTCGCCCAAATGGTCCCGTATTATTCAATAAGTCTTCTGGTAGAAACTATCTGTTGCCGGAAAATCCGTTATATAGGTATCTATTAAACATACGGAAAATTAGGTGCATGTAATGAAATGAACTGATTTTATGTCACATTTTTTAACTTTTCTATTTACGGTTATTATTCTCAATTTCATTTCAAGAAAATGAAAGTGCTTTAAAATAAGGATGTATGTCTCTGAAGATCCCTATGCTTCTCTTTCGAATTTTTTATAATATGTTAGGGACTTCCTTAATTAAAAACAATTAATATACGATATAATCTATATATATAAAAATGAATCGCAAAATGTGTTGGTAAGCGCATAACTCAACAACGCCTCGACCAATTTGGCCAAATCTTTTTTTAAAATGTTCGTTGAAGTTCAAGGATGGTTTTTACGGCGAGAAAAATTAGAATTATTGCTGGAAAAACCCTAAAAATAGCCCTTTTCTTTTTCCCATACAAATGATTTGTAACTAAAACGTAGTCAATTTGAGCTTTATTGCTATGGTATAAAGTTCATATTAAATTACAAGCACTCACTGTTGTCTAAGCAATGTAGGTGTGCTCCTAACGTCAAAGATCATATCTATCAAAACAATGTGCGTGTGTGCGTTGGAGCACAGAATACATAGTTGGAGGAGTTTAATGTCGCATTCCGAAACTCGCGTTTCTTTTGTATTAGTTTCGGCACGCGAGATAAAATGCATCAGTTTCCACGTCATTACATGTATTGCCGGAACATTGATGAAAATACGCTCTGTAGTAGCAAAGATGTTGGGTCCTAGATAGCTCATTGGTTAGAGCAGTCCCTGGATCGCGAATGGGTTCGAGTCCCATTCCGGGGTACAGGTAGATGGATTCTTCCAGCATTTTTCCTTGAGAATGTTTATATATTTTTTTAATTCGAATAGTTTACTTTTATAATGCTGTTGTGTGTAATGTGTTTTTATGATCATAAAAATTTCTTTTTTCTATATTTAATACTATTACTATTAATACATTGCAATAATAATTATGATTCACATGATTAACAATAAAGCGATTACTTACTTTTAAATCCTTATATATGTTTTATTTAATTATTTTTTATTCACAACGCCCTATCACTAGGGTGACGGTTCTGTTCAGGAGAATTTTTTTAAATACGTAGGCAAAAAAACTGCCACATTACAAATCTTTTTGACAGGACGAAGTCTGTCGGGTCAGCTATATCTTATAAAGATCTATCAATACTTTGATATATATCTTGAGTTATCTGTTTGTAAATATTTAACTTTTCTCATGACTTATAGTATAATATCAGTAATAAAGCTAAGATGGAGGAACCGTCATGCGCCATAACATATCATTGACTAATACCAAAGAGTACTTTTATATATATGGAAAACTAATACCTTTATTCTTGACTTTCACCGCCTTTACAACTTGGTTAGGAGTAGAAATGAATAAAAGAGGAACTAAAATTTATTCCTTACATGGCAACACCTGAGTTATTGTTGCTGAGCTGAGCTGAATTTAAATTCACATAAAATTATTTCAAAATCTTTGAATTTGCTGCAAAAGTGGTTTAAAATACCTAAGACTATAAAGAATGGTCCAAGATCTAATGATTATAATATTTTTAAACGATGGTTAGCGGAATATCGCACAGGTAAAATGTTATTATGGTCAGATGATCTTTACAATCGAGTTTCTGAAATGACAGGTATTTATTTACTTTAACTTAACGTTTAACATAAAGTGAACATTGTAGATAACTGTAATAATCCGAAAAACGGAATTAGAAGACTTTTAGCTAGTTGCACAAACGTCCATTAAAATTGTCATTAGTTTAAGGTGAATTTGAATCAGTATAAAGCCTAGCGTCTACTTTAAATCGAACGGCATAAATTTGGAATTCATACATTTACTACCTAATAAATTATATCGCTTATATAGCGAAGTGACGGGATGCACCGAAACGACTCCAACCCTGGCCAAATCTAAAGTCAAAGTCAAAGTCAAAATAATCTTTATTCAAATAGAATCATAAATCAAATAAAGAATTTTTAAATCAAGAATCTAAGGTGATCAGTAGTGGCTGTTACTTTCTACGATTTTCTACGATATATGTAATCGATTCTTTGATTCTAGTTATGCCGGCAGGCGGACTCGGGCTCGTTCGCGCTGCCGAGCCCCGAGGACGGCAAGTACGTGTGGCGCATGTGCATACAGCAGCACACCTTCTACATGCGCCACCAGCGGCCCCCGCCCGCCACGGACCACGCCCCCGCCCTCCACCACTCCAGGACCAAGTTCCAGGTGACTGATTGATTTTCATTTCGTCATTTCTTTATTTATAATCAAATCTCCGAAAGATGGTGGGTTCGAGTCCCATTTCAGAGTAAGCTGGTGGGTTTTTTAAACATTTTTAACTAATAATATTTTCCAGTATACCATTGTGAATGCGAAATTTATCAAGATATTGACTTTACAAAGTAAACGGTATAAACAACTTGACCTAGTTTGTTGATCGACTATCAGATAATTGCCACGTTAATTATCACCAGTTTCTCATGATAATAAGGTATTTTTAAATGCGAACCAATCGTGCTTCATTGATAAAATAGGTTTGCATTGGCAATACAAAACGTAACATTATGTGAGTTGCCTATATTAAAATTGAAATTCGATTATATCGTGCACAGTTTCATTGGCTATCCTGTTCTAATTTTTAATCCTGTAGTGTGGGACGTAACGATGTGTGTATACTTATATACTAATATTATTAAGAGAATAGATTTGATTGTTTGTTTGCAACTAATAGACTCCGAAATTACTGAACCGATTTTAAAAATTCTTATACCTACGGAAATTACTTAATAGGAACATAGTATATATTTTATCCCGAAAAACAGCAAATGAAGGGATCAAAATTGGGAGTGGAAGTTTTGTTTAGGCAATTAAAACGTTACCATAGTAACCATTGTTTATTATTCAATTTGTCATTGTACTTATATCCGTGTCCTGATATTAATCGATATGTAAATAAAATACCGCGCATGATGTAACTTCTTGTAGGTGAAAGAATTGTCATGATTACCTCCTACAACCAAATGGTATGTCAGTATCTAATGTTATAAAGATGTAGATTAAAAACTCAGCGTTTAGTTCAAAGAGAAATCTATAAGAAAATGTTAAATATAGGGAAGTTGTTGTTAGTGAGATATAACGCGAAATACAATGTCTAAAGCTGATTTTAAAAAGGCACCTACACCTTAAAATAACGACAAACTGTAATTCGAAATCATGACCTGATGACGTTTTAAAATAGTTATTTAAGATACGAGTGCAGAAAGTAAGGTTTGAAAAACCTTTTACGCTCAAGTTTCTTACAACATTTTTCAATGCTTTTTGCGAGGAAATAAAACAAATATAAAGGTTAATAAAACTAAGTATGTATTAAAGGTAAAAATTATTTGTTAAAATTAAACGTGATATTTGAACATGTTTTCGTGTCATACATTTTTATTTGAAAATATTCGTTCTAGGCTCCTTGAAATACTTTTGCCTCTAAAGTTTGACATATTTTCATCAATTTTTTTTAAATTTCTTTGGTGCTCGGCCAAAAAATATAAAAAATACTTTTAAGCACGTGTGCAATAAAGGATTTCAGTTCATTTCATTTTTTTTAACACGTGTTTAAAGACTCACTTTCGGTGTTTACAATGGATTAAAAAAATAGCGCTTTATGAGCAACTGCATTGAAAAATTACAAAGTTACTCCTTAATTTTTTGCATTTCTTCTCGTATCGTTTACGTTTCTAATATGTGGGTTGCTTTATAGGCGACGTCGTTACGGAGA